GGAATTAATCTTGCAGTAGGTGGCAACATGAGGTTAGTTTCACGATGTGAGATTAGAATCATTATGAAATGCTTATTTTTTTAATAATGTGGTTCTCCTGAGATTTGAAATAAGTCTCCTTTAACCAGAAATTTTACAATATATATTTTACAAGTACATTGTGATCCTGAAACTGGACACCATTTATAGCGAGTATAAAATTGAAATAGACAGATATATAATGATTAAACATGGGATCCACAGGAATCCATATTAGCAAACTACTTTGACAAAGAATAAAACAAGTGTAACAAAAAGAATTTAAAAATAAGATGGCACCAGTCTTTAGTTTCTTTTTTTAAAATGTGAATTTTAAAATATGGTGATTATGGTGACTATTCAGGTACATATATGGATAAAAGTATATTTTTTATAAAATAACAAGTAGTATAGGGAATTTTTGACAGTTAAAACTATGATCAAAATGATGTCTTAAAGACAAAGGCAGTTTTCTTACATTTCTAATTACTTAGGTAAAGTAAGTGTTTCTTGGTAAATATACATAATTGTATATTTGGAGGATTGCACTTACTCATCTTTGTACAGAGAATTTCAATTTTTACTCCTAGGTTTGGCGATGGACCTCGTCCACCTAAAATGGCTCGATACGACAGTGGAGGTGGCTACAGAGGAAGAAGTGGAACTGGCTACAGGGGGGGCTACCAAGGTGGATATGGAGGCGGATATCGTGGTGGATATAATTCTTACCGTGGTGCTGCTGGGGGAAGAGGATATTCAGGGGGGGCTGGAGGTGGATTTCGAGGTAGAGGAAGTTTTCAAGGTTCAGGTGGAGGATACCAAACTGGAAGAAACAGAGGTGGTGGATTTAGAGGAGGGTGGAGTGGCTACTGACAAAATGCTAGTGAGTATGTGTTGCACATTGAATCTAAAGCTGAGAAGGAGCTTAAAGAAGTTCAGTCCTTCCTGGGTTCCATGGTAAGCACCTGATCTCTGGAAAATAAGTTTAGGGTCAAGATGTTGCCAATAGCCTGTTCCATTCTAAAGCATCATTTTGGCTACATTCAAAGCATAGGCATCCTTAAATGTTAGTAATTCCAGAATAAAAGTATGCATGAACTTGTTTTATTCCATACATTTCTTTATTTGTAATACAGATCTCTTCCTGATTTAGTTCATCATATTTTGGAATATTTTAATTCCAAATTATATTTATATACAGTATTCACATTGCTTTAACTTTGTATGTTTATTTTGATCCTAATGAAGTTGTTAATTTTTAAGGGATTAGTCCTAGATGTAGACTTGAATTTTTGATTGTTAGTTGTATCATCAAAAATTGTATGAGTTGATTGATGCCTTACTAGGATTGCCAGTTAGGAGCTTAAAGTTCTTTATCTGTTCAAATATTTGTCACATACAGCAACTTCTAAAATAAAAATAGTACAACTCCAAAAATGTCATAAAATACAGATGATGTCATTTTTTGAAAACCTGCCATGTAGCTAAACTGCCAACTCAGAATACATGATTATGTATCTTTTCCTAACTAGAGAGTTCAGCCTCAAGTACAGACATTCTTTGGCTTAGGACCATTTGTTCAGTGACTGAAGTTATGACGATAATGAAGGGTGGTTATGCCAACCGCTCGGAGTTCCGGCCATCCCAGTACTCCGGTGGTCAAGTAATTGCAGTCTGGGTGCTTGGCAACCTGTTTGCACTTATGGCTCTTGCCAAATGCCCTGTGATCCTTTGATTGCCATTGATCACCTCCCATGCCGGTATCCCCAGAAAGCCAAAAGGGAAGATCACAAGTTACTGGGATGTGTACCCCACACCCTGTGTGCTTGTACTGACCATTTGTGCATCCTGTCCGATCCAAGCAGCACCTTTTGCAGTCTTGTGGTTTCTAACTTTATGCCTTAATCACTACACCCAACTGGCTTCATATTCTAATTGGCACGAGTTAAGATATTTGTACATTTTTGGAATATATACCTCCTGTTTAGTTACATTCTTGCCTAATTCCAGTCATTTGATGGTCAAGTTGCAGGCACTGTAATAATTGATTATATTTATTGGCTGTTCCCAGTAGGATAGAAAGAAAATAGGTCCTAATTGATTAGAAACTTGCTGTTATTGTGCCCATGGTAAAATAGAGTGACAGGGCACAATGTGAAAACTGTCATGGAATCAGTCCTGTCTGATTGAAAAGGTCCTTGCACAGATTATCAGAACTCTCCTATAGCCAGTGTGAGAATCCCCAGGAAGAATAGCATTGCTTTAAATCAATCTGTGGCTATGTGGACCATTTTTTTTTTCTACCAGGCAAGTACTTGAGAAACGTACTAATTGCTGAGTGTCTTTGAAAATGTACACCAGGATTCCAGATTGTTATTTAATGTGGTAATACCGGTAGGTTGGACTAGACAACCGATATGCAATTGGGGTGTTTCCCCTTTTCTTGGTGTATGGGTGTGTGGGGGTTGGGAAGGGTGTCTGAAGAATATATAAGAGGTGCAGTGCAAGTCAGGGATGTTACTGGGGGTTGGGGAGTGCAGGTCAGAAAGGATGTGACGGTGCCCAAGTTTCATGGGTCGGGGAAAGTATCCAGAAGGGCTGTAAGGTGTTGAGTCAGGGAAGGCATGGGGCAGCACAAGTGAGGAAGGTTGCATGGGGTCCACAAAGGGTGCTACATGGATTGGGGAAGGCACACGGGGATAGCGAGCTGAAGTTGGGAAAGCACAGGAAGCCAGGAAAGGTGTATGGAATTCCTTTCTCCCTGTTCCCCCCACCCTTCCTTCCCTCCAGATAGGTGAATGGCTCCTGCTGGGGTGGTGGTGAGGAATGAGGGGTTGCAAGATTGGCTGGGGAGGTCACAAAACATTTAAAATGAAGATCATGTGACCGCAGCAACAGCCAGTAGACTGAAGCAGCCACCGACTTCCCCCGATTTTATTTCCTCAGGAGTCATAGGTCCTGGATTTTGTTCATTCTGTAATTTATTCTATTTGAAGTATCTTGCTTCAAAAACTGTTGCCCTATGATGCATCCTTTTAAAGATTATGGTGAGAGTTTTAGAAGTAGATCGATATTGGGAAAAAGCTGTGCAATGCAGTGTGACGTGGATGAGCTGAACTTCATAGGTACAGCATATACCAATTGTATTTTCATAGAGGAATCAGAACAGGAATTGTCAGATGTCCTAAGAGTAAGGAAAAGGTAAAGGTTCCCCTCGCACATATGTACTAGTCATTCCCAACTCTAGGGGGCGGTGCTCATCTCCGTTTCAAAGCCAAAGAGTCAGCGTTGTCCAAAGATGTCTCCGTGGTCATGTGGCTGACATGACAACACCAAAGGCACATGGAACACTGTTACCTTCCCACCAAAGGGGTCCCTATTTTTCTGTTTGCATTTTTTTACATGCTTTCGAACTGCTAGGGTGGCAGAAGCTGGGACAAGTAATGGGAGCTCACCCTATTACTCAGCACTAGGAATTCAAACTGATGAACTCCGGACCTTTTGATTGACAAACTCAGCATCCTAGCCACTGAGCCACTGCGTTCCTTGTCCTAAGAATAGAGATATAAAAAAGACTAATGTGTTAGCTGATAGCACATACTTAATTTTTCAAATACCTAGGCTGTTCAATTTCTGTATCAATAACTTTCACAATCGCCAATGTACTTGAAGAAATAATTACGCTCAAATGGCTTTCACCAGTTTATTAATGCTGCCTCTGGAATGTATAAGTCTGGAAAAAATACAAGTATTCAACAACATTTCTGTGGAATGGAAATATGGATAGGTTGCCTATGAAACCTAAAAGTTGCGTTATCAATTGTGGAAGCAGGACAGATAAGGAATCAGCAGATCATAGATGAGAATCATACCTTCATTGATTTGGGAATGGATTTATCATGGTTCCTTGGATCACTGCTGAAAAAGCAAGCTGCTTGGTTGAAAGCTAACAAAAAAAATCCCCCCCCCCAAATATTCCTAAATCACCCAGACTTCAAGCAAAGTCATTATGTTCTAATGTCACAGGACTTATAGCATCTGCTCAAGACAGAAAACTTTGGAAGGGACTTGTTAGCCATGGCCAACACAGCTCCATCAGTAATATCCTACAATTTATAAAGATGTCTGCACTAGAATATATGAATGCACAATTTCTAGGAGACATCATTTTCAATGTCATCGTTTGAAAATGAACTAGATGCTGGGTTTTATCTATTTTCATTTTGCTAACCACTCTATGCTCAACTGAGCAGAAATGTATAAATCAAATCTCTATGTACCTCTTTAATACTTCTCAACCATGAGTTAGGATAGTATATATCGGGTCAGCTACCTGTAGCTCTGGAGCCGCATATGGTTCTTTCATCCCTCTGCTGCAGCTCCGTTGCCAGTGAGCTCCACAATTGATAGGGCTTTTGGTTATGACAGGTAGAGAAAAAAGGACACCATGCTAGGAGACTCTATGGTGGGGGAACCGGACTTCCGGTCAGCAGAGGAAAAAGGACACTGCACTAGGAGATTCTATGGTGGGGGAACTGGACTTCCGGCTGGCTCCAGAATTGAATGCATGGGCTTCCAGTTAGGACCTTTTTGGCTCTGAGTGTTTAAGGTTGCCGGCCCCTGGTATATACCATCCCAAATGCCTTACAGCATTCTGCAACTAGGGGTTCAATCACCTTGCTATAGAGAGAGAAATCAAGTAAATATGGCATATAATTACATATATAGGAACACACAATAGTGGCTATTTGAGGAAAATATTGTGTTTTTCAGAATTCTTTTTTCACCTAATAAAATGTTCATTATATTCATTTATTTTTCTAAGTTGATTATGGCTTATGTTCACTGGCCTCAGGATAAAGGTCTGAATGTAGACAGATCTGATTTCTATGTGATTGGGCTCATACATCACACTAATCCTCAATGTGGATGGCATTTTAACTAAGTGATTAATTCATTAAAATAATTAAAATGAATTAAAATTGATTAAATCAGTAAAATGCATTTACTGCATGTTTATTAGGGTTTAGCCTTTAGGGCTCTCACAAACAAATCAAATTTTTTTAAATGTAACTTTTGACAGCACAAAGATTGAATTTATTGCCATCACTTCTGCCTTATATGTCTGGGAATGGTTCCAAACCTTCCAGTATTACTATGTAAAGCTCAAAGAACTGTGGCTGTATAAGAGTTGGATTTACTGGAATATATAATCCTTTATCTTTTTTTAATGTTAACAGTATTGCAATTTTTTAAGAACAAAGACATTAGTTATCCCACTAAATATGTCATCTATCAATCTGTTAAGCATCCTCTCTTCCTTCAAAATAATAAAAGATTAAAAATCCCATTCAATTCCTCTCTCCAATTTGATAAAGAATGACTGATGAGCACTTTTTAAGTCTGATTTTTGAGGCAGCCTTGTATCTACAATGGATGATATCCTAGTCTGTAATATAGACAGAGAAGTCCTTATCGCAGTTTTACAAATTAGGACTATTTCTAAGGATGTAGTTTCTCCCTTATTTTTTAAATTTAATATAATGCTTAAGTTTTATGGAGACTGGTAAAAGAAAACTTCTATTTGTCTTCTTTCTATCTAATATTGCTAATTATAATGTAGTAAAAATAAAATTGATAAGCATAATAGATTCAATGAAGAATTGGTTTTAACTTTTTCCTAAAGCCAGTCTATCCTAATCTTTGAAAGATTACATTCCTAGGTAACAATGTATATGAATATGATGGAAGGGTACATATAGAATTCAATCCTTTGATTTATTAAATTACTGATACAGGAAGTTATTAGATAAAAAATAAGTTTAAATGTATTCATACCACACTTTTCAGTTTTCTCCTTACCTATGAAATGTTTATAAAGCCGCTGTTTTAACAGTATTTATTATACAGCAATGTTTTTAATAATATTAACTTTTCTCTTATGCTATAGGAAATGGCTACACCATGAGACCTTGCAGCTTCAGTTAACTATGCTGATGCCTTTAATGTCTTCCAGTGTATTTGCATTTATCTGAAGGGTCAGTTCCTGCATCAATTTAGAAACAGAATCTTCTCCATCTCCTGCTGCAGCACATTCCATTGTTTCTTCTGCTGTGGTGCCCAGCTGTTCAGAAGGCTTCATAATTGTCACTCCGTAACCATTGTTACTATAAATATGGTTATTTTTCATCTTTAGTTTAGGAGCAGGGAGGACCTGTTAAGGAATTAACATTTTAATAATTTCAATATTTTTCAGCTTAGTTATCTATTTAAACATGGACATCATTTCAAATTTCCCAGTCTCTGTCAGTGGTATTTGATGCAGAGTGCAACTGAATTCATAAACTGGGCTTAGGGGGAGGCTATTAGTTTGAGTCCAGTCAATTGCAAAAAGTAGACCATTGCATATGGTTTAGGACAGAAATGATTTAAGTCACAGTTCAAGTGTGGCCTGCAAAACCTCTTTACAACTCCTATGCCCTCCCAAGTAGGCAGGCTCAATCATTTCACTTTTGTTTTAAATTCTTTGACAAAGTAAGTAAATAAGTGGACCAGGGAAATGCTGTAGACATAATTTACTTGTACTTCAGTAAGGCATTTGATAACATAATCCATAACTTACTACTTGGCAAGTAGGGGTTAAACAGCATCACCACCAGATGGATTTGTAACTGATGGAACAACTGTACTCAATATATAATCTTTAATTGAACTGTTTACAGGGAGGGAAGTATGCAATGGGGTACCCCAAGTTTCTGTTTTAGGCCTAGTACTTTTCAATATCTTCATAAACAATTTAAATGAGGGAATAGAAGACAAACCGCCAAGGTCCCTTCCAACTCTATTTTGATTTTTGTGAACTAGGGAGGATGCTAAGGAAGAAAATAGGTATCTTAAACCAGCTACCTCACACAAGTCTAAAAATATTGCCTTATTTGTTCTTGTGCCCGAGGCAGAAAAGCAACCATCTGAAAAAAACCCATTACTGAAATCTGCAAATGAAGTTTAATAAAAGCAAATTAAAAGTTGAAACAATTGGCTGATTCTACTATGTGAGCACCAATTTATGAGTGACAATCCACTGTCAGCAATGATTTACCTTTATGTTAATTCCACCAAGACTACCCCGTGAAGAGTCACTCGTTCTGAAGTTATTGCAGTGGTGAATTTTGTTATCCTCCAAGGTAGCCACACTTCCTGGATATAACTCAACACCAGCTCCCTGGGCATAAAAACAAATTTTAATGTAGCAGTGATGAATAAAAATTCTAGTAGTTCATTGCAAAGGAAAATGAGATCTGGTTAGTCAGAAGAAAATGGAGACAAACTTGTCCTTTAATAAAACTCAAAATAGTCATAAGCAAAACAAAAGGAAATCAAAATAGGTTTTTCTTCTTAAAGATGCAGTAGCAAAATGTAACTAAATAAATCATAGACATAAAATGTTCATAACTCATGCTCTGTATCTTTCCTTATATATTTAGTTCATCAAATAACTTTTTGAGAGTTGGCTGAATTATACTTAAATCACATGTCATAATTAATGATTTACACACAATATACACAAACAACTCCTTTTCCATTACCTTTAATACTCTTGAGTTTTAAACCCACAGGTGAGGAAAATCAATAGCAGTTTCCAATCGTGATAGAAACTACATAATCCCGTTTTACGTTGCTTAAAAAGCAAATTAAACCTCCAAACCCACATCCAAATGTCTTATCTGCTGTCAAGTGTGTAATGATTACAACTACTTTATTGCCCCATACTCTTTTCTCCACAAAAAAATTAATTCTCCCCATGGTCATCTGACCAAAGTTGGGGCACTTGGAACAAGCTCACTTTTGCTCAGTTGCAGCATCTTGCAGTTATATCAGGAGTGTCAAACTGATGGGCCATGGGCCGGATGCATTACATGCAGGCCACACCTATCCCAGCTCCGCGAAGGGGAAAAAATCATGTTACGTCATGTGATGCAGTGAGTTTGACACCCGTGGGTTATATGATCATGATTTGCAAAACATGGCCACTGGGGAAGCTGGATTCACTTAACCATGGATTTATTTAATGACTGCAGTAAAAATTGTTATAAAATCAAACTTGACTTGTAATTGGAGTAATTTATGACAGAAATTTGTCTCAATAGTGTTTGCAAGTCAAGGACTACACATAATCTTTAAATATTGACTGAAAATGTTTTCAATTGCTATACTGTGATATCTTAGGGACCACAGTCAATAGCAAATCTATAATAAGGGTTTCCTTGAAGCATCTACTGCTTCTACTAATCAAGAGCCAATTTTATGTCTCTCACTTCCCTTAACAGGAGTGGGTGAAATATAACAGCTAAACATATTCTTAATAATTGATTTCCAAGATCTCCAAGGTAAGAAAATCTTAGAAAATGATATAAAATGAAATTTCCCTGTGCTGGGGTGTTGGCAAATCTTTCCTATAGGCTCTAACTGCTCTGCCCCAAAGTATGAATTCAATCACTATTCAATTAATTTTACTGCCTATTGTTCAAATCTATTTATTGGCAATATTGTTGATAAATGACTTGTTTTAAAAAGAAAAGGGATAAAAAATATGTTGCAGCCTAGAAGAAAAGGAACCTGAAGATACAGAAAAACTAGGAGGAAAGTTCATAGTTTTTGCTGCCATCTAATGGTGGGTAAAATATTAATAATTAAGGATAAAGTGATTAGCTTATTGCATTAAGAAACTGGAGGTCAGTCAACAATCAACATTTATATTAAACCAAATCTTGAAAAAAAGTATCAGTTAAGACTGCGTTTGGAACCTGTCTTGCACCTTATTAGCTTCATATTTTTTGAAAGAATTTGAGAATGGCCAAGGGATTACATTAAAAATTTGGCTAGAAAGTAACTGAAATCTCATAGCTACCAGATTGAGACTGCAAAAATGATTATTAGATGGCAGCAAAAATTAAATGTTTGAGTTGTCCCTATCTCCCTTCTAATGTACAGGTATTTATTGCTCAACCTAAGTAAATGTTTTACATTCATGCATACATGCTGTATCTTGAATGAACTGAAAGAGACTATACCTGTGCTCCAGTAATCTCACTATTTGTAATTGTCAATGAAGCCCCAACAAGTACACAAATACCAGTTCCTTCACACTTCAGTATACAATTTTCCACAATTGTGTGTCCAGATTCAACTACAATAATTCCATCAACAGTCCCTTGCTGAAGCAATGTAATATTCATGAATTTAACATTTTTAGCCCTAGATACTACAAAACACTCATTAGCAGGTTCTGAAACGATCACAATTTCCTCTGGTTTTCCAACACCTGAAGAAAAGGAGAAAATTATATTAAAAAGCAGCTTAGTATTTTAATACATCCAACAGTGAAAGCAAAGTTATAATTCTATTTTATTGTTTTCAGAAATATATGTTTTATGGTTTTACAGTTTTTATAAGTACTCCGTCTAAGGTTGCCTGGAGGCAATATTGGGAGGCAAAGAAATCTAATACATCAGATAGATAGGTAGGTAGGTAGGTATATGATATGATATAGATCAGGGGTATCAAACTCAAGGTCTGGGCCCGGATCCAGCCCGCGGGGTACTTAGATCTGGCCTGCGGGGCCACTCTGGAAACAGCGAAAGACTGGTCTGTGGTGCTTCTGCCAGCGAAAACGGGCTCCTGAGCTGTCTTTACTGGCAGAGGATTGCAGGAGATCGTGGAAGCCGAAAACGGAGCTCAGGAGCCCGTTTCCACTGGCAGAGCGCTCAGGCCACCACAACCACCCCCGACACGAGTGATGTCAAGCTGGCCACGCCCACCCTGGCTTCCCGAGATGAAACACAACCCTGATGCAGCCCTCAATGAAATTGAGTTTGACACCCAATATAGATATGATTTAGATGTTAGATGATATAGATGATAGACACAGATAGGAATAAGGACTGTTTCTAAGTTTTTAAAGTACTCTAACACCCTATTTCATAAATACAAAATATGAAGTGTATGGTATTGGTAAAGTGGTACAGTTAAAAAAAATTAATGCAATCTTATGAGAACATGCAGAGTGATGCAATAGGCAATTCCTTGCCTGATTTAACAATCCAGGGTACACATATGCTGATCAAATATAATCAACAGCAGGAGTCATGATACTGTAAACTCATTTAAGCCAGACTCAAAGTGGTGGTATTGGGGAAGTTGAGGTTGAATTTGTGGGAACAGTTCCCTCAATAATTTTAGCTATTCAAATGATTTCAATATATTGTGCATATATGTAATTACTTTATACATACATTAAGAAGGTGTGACATTAAAATAAAAGTTTTCATATTTAAATAAGTCTCTGAAAAATTTACAAACCAAGGCCAATTGTTCTATCCAATATTTTCTTTCACCTCAACAGAAAATTACAACATTCTTTCAATTTGGCAACTTTAACTGCAAAAATAAAAAAGAGAGAGAAAAAAAGTATACTAATGCCTTTAATAATAATATCTTCAGTTAACATAGACAAGTTTGATGCTTTATATTCTCCAGGGAAAATAAGCACATTATCACCACTATAACAACGGTCCAAAGCTATGTTTAGGTTCTCATTCTGTTGAACAACTGTATCAGAGGATAATTCTTTAGCCTAGACATATGAAAGAGAAAAAATAACATTGGAATTAAGTGAATCTTGAACATCAGTTTTCTAAAAACGTGTGTGTGTGTGTGTGTGTGCGCGCGCGCGCGCGTGTGTGTGTGTAGATAAGATAGATATAGATATATATTCATCCTCAAGGTTGGCAAGTTGAGGACCCAGACTGTTTGGGCCAATATGCTGATTCTGTAAACTGCTTAGAGGGTGCTGTAAAGCTCTATGAAACAGTATATAAGTGCTATTGTTATTGCTATTTACTCTTTTAGAGTCACCTTAATATAAAATTTAGAAGTTTTAACACAAAATTCAAATAATGTTGCAATGATTCTTACATTTATTTCAGTTGTATAAGTAGTTCCTGGGGAACAAACCCCAATGTATGTAATGGAACTTAATTTTAAGTAGTTATATTGTATATTGAAAGTTAGTATTAAAATACAACAAAATATTTTCTACAAACTTTTATAAAACATATGCAAATTTATTAGCTATTTTAGAATCTAAGTTAGTATATTGAACTAGTGTTTGCAAATTTTTACTAAGACAGTTCTTCCATGCAAGAACTCTTCTGCTAAGGTTCATGAAATATCTATATAATAGCATTTAATCATGTTGTACAGACTTTTGTATAACTACACCAAGCCCGCAACTATCATCTTTTTTATTATGGCACTGAAAAATATATCAAAACAGAGCAAATATCTTCCCAATGGCCCAAAAGAATAATCTTAATGCCAAATTATACTTCTTTGTATAATTACACATATTATACAAAATGCTTTTGCTAGTGAATGGAGCATTAAGAAACATCTATGTCCACTTGAAAATTTCTTACCACTTCTGCTGTTACTGTTTTTGCAACAATGTAAGTTACAATTTCCCCATCATGTCTGTGTCCTTTTCTACGCTTCAGTATCCTTGGGGCCAGGGGTCCATGAGCTCTAAAATTGGAAATGAATTCTATCACAATTAACTTTAGACCTGTGGTCCCCGCCAATGGTATCCATATCACGGGTTAGACAGTACAGATAGAATACAGAATAAGGCTTTAATTAGCTAATGTCTTAAATATAAATATGTTTGTAGGAAAAAAAGGCTTTGGTATAATTAAAGGCAGAAAAATTCGCTGCAGAAAACACATCCCAAATATATGTGTAAAGAAATTAAATTCCTAGAATTTTTACTTTTTGATGGGGTTTACTTATAATTTAAATAATGAATGGACCATATTAAAAAGTAAGCCTAACATATTCTCTTTCGAAAAAATAAAATCTGTTTTTTAATACTCAAAATTTAAACTGTGGCTTAAAAAGCGTTTGAAACTTTTTAACTATTCTAAAAATGATTTAAAATTATTAGCCCATACCTTATTTGTATAAAATATTCTGAAGGACAAATTATTTTTAAATGGGAAGCTATTAGAATTATGAATTATTGAACTGGGGATACAACTAGCAACAGATTTTAAAACATTTTTTTCTGTAATCAATTTTACACAATTCATTAAGTATAAAATGTTTGCTTTTTAAAAAATGATGAAAAACAATCTACTATTATTAATTTTCAAGTTAAATTAGCTTAAATATTTTTAAATGAGGTTAATTTTTACATCTTAAAAAAGTAGTGTGAAATTCAGGGAAATAAATTTTATTCTACAAAATAAATTGAACTAGGTAGGACTGAATAACATTAAACAGAGTAGTTTTTTAATCTGCAAAATTAAATGTATTTAATTTTTTATTACTCGTATTTTCTAATGATTAATTTGAGCAAATAAAGGCAAAAACTCCTGGAAAAATATTTTAATATATTCCATTTAAAATAAATTTTCACTTACCAAAGTATGGTCTATTATTAATTATGAAAATACTAGTATTTTTAAAATGTATTAACAGATACCATTGTTTCTTAGGATGTTGCATCTTTCTGAATTACCAGATTCTGGCATTTGAAACACATTTATGGTATGGGAGCTACTGCCCAGATGGACAAAATCAAGCAGACTGATACTAATCTTTATCAAACGATGAATAGATGCATATGATTAGAATTTAACACTGATGTAGTATAAACAGAACTAGTATTAGATACACAGCTTACGTAATGATGCTCTTGGCATTTCTACAATAAAACGTTAAGTTCTTATATTATTGCATTCCTGTTTATCTCAAACTTGCCTGAGAAAATCCTAAATGTGTTTCTCACATATTTTAATAGAAATTTCATTAACTAAATGAAAATTACAATACATTGAATCAATCCTGTATTATAGTGGTAGTATTCAGCTGGTTCTATCCGGTTCATCCATCCGCATGGACATCATGATGTTCCATTTTTGCACATTTTTGAGGCTCTGCGCATGTGCAGAAGGTCTTGTGCATGCACAGAAGATGGTGCATGCGAGCGGATCAAGCGCATTCGCGAGTGCATATCTGCGAACTGGTAGGGAAGGTAAGTGAATACCACCCCTGCTCTATTAGCATAAATGGGAATCATAAACACTGAATTCAATGGAACTTATTTTTGAAAAAAACATGTCTAAGAATAGCATTAAAGAATTAGCAAATTTACACTAAGCCATCATGTAATAACTAATTTAAAAAAATCGTGTTGACAGTTATCAAATAAAAAATTAGATAACACAACAAATGAAATTACCTTAAACGTAAATCTTCCCATATTTTCAACAAGCCACACAGCATTATTAGTTCATAGTATTTTTTCCAACACTCAACAGCTTCTTCTGCTGTGGGCTCCTCTTTGACATTACTTTGGTATTGAATTAATTCCAAATGCATGGTCTTGTATTTTTCCAAATTTCTTCTAAAGCGATGGGCAATTGGAGCTGGAATAATTCCATTCTGAATATCACACCAACTAAAAAAAATTAAGACAAATAGAAATTCAACTTTTGAAAGTGCCTATCATAAAATCAATTTTATAACTGCAAATAAAATGATGACTGTGGGTTGGAATATACAGAGCAATCCCCAGTCCAACCCCCAAGTGTACGTTTGAACCCCTTATGTCTGAGAGGAAAACTGTGTAATTGCAACCTGAATACATGAAGAGGGGGTTGTTCCAATAGGTCCTGCAGGTTGAGATAGCAATAGCAATTAGACTTCTATACAGCTTCACTGTATTGCCCCCAACAATTTGGATCCTCATTTTACTTGGAAGGATGGAAGGCCGAGTTAATACTGAACCGGTCAGAATCGAACTCCTGGCAGTGAACAGTGAGTTAGCCTGCAATACTGCATTCTAATTACTGCACCATCACAGATGTTTTAATATTCTCTCATGATTTGGATTATTTGTCAGATATAAATCGGATGATTCTGTGTTTATATATGTACAGGTAGTTTGACTTTGGTATAGTAATGTAATGTTATATTTTAGCCAGATTTATCAATGTTGGATAATTCTAAGTGTTATCAGTGACTGAAGTAACATATAAGCTTAGTAAACGAATAAAAATAAATTGAAGATATTCACACAGACTGCTTTACTATGAAAAAGATTAATGTTTAATGTGGATGTCAGAGAGTATGTATATTTTGGTAGGGAAACATTTTAATATGAAAGCTTCTAGCAGTACTCCAACTATGATTGTTAAAATTCTGGCTTAACACTTCATCTCCTGTTGGTAAGAATTAAGCCTATTCTACTTACATTTTAATTCTCTCTTCTATTAATGCAGCATAGGTCTCACTATTTTCATCATCATCCCAATCTCTCCAAAGAAAGTCATAGAAAAATCTAAGTAAAAACCATAGTGATATTACATTTATATTTTAATGGTATATAAAAAGGGTGCAGGGAGTGAAAAACAGAAAAAGTATTTCAAAATATAGAAAATAGCCTTTGTTGTAATATTTTCAGAACAGTATTTACATAGTGACCCCTTTCATTTACCTCATTATTTATGCTATAGTAGATGGTGATTATTACATTGTTCATTTCACAACTGAATCATTTTATAATCAGTTTCTTTTTTTATCTTACAAGCTACTTCACCAAATGTGGATCTCTCTATATGTAAATATATATTAAAGTTTTGTTTTGTGTTATTCTTAAAATATTCTTAATTATTTTAAATTGGGGAATAACATCAACATACTGTAGTTTATTTGGGCTTCAGCAGAATCTTTTACAGAGTGCCTCATAATAATCTGTTTAATAAAATGGTAAATAAGGTCTAAATGAGATTACTGTTAGACACATAGTTGGCAAAATGTCCAAAGCCAAAGAGAGCTCATTAATAGTTCCACTTCATCTGAAAGGTAAAACTGAGTGGATTGCTAAAGGGCTCTGCCCTATTCAACTTTATTTTTTATCAACACCTTCTTTCAAGAATTTCAGAGACTTATACAGAATACAGATGACGTAAAGTTGAAAGGGGCATTAATACTTTAGATCAGAAAGAATTTAAAAAGATCTAAGCAATATGATGAAATTAACAGCATTGATTTTAATGTAAAGAGAATGCAATGGAAGGAGAGAGAGAAAATCCTTAATACCAAAGCAATGAAAGTGGAAATACTGGTTAAATCCAACAATGAAGCAGGCATATATATATATATATATATATATATACACGTGTATACACACACACACACACACAGAGAGAGAGAGAGAATACACACACACTCACACCAATTTATATCAGTTTCAGAAAGAGAATGGGTAAAGCAAAACCAGGTTTGCACAATTGTATTACTATAACCGATCTTTAAAAAAGCAGTCTTAGCTTGGAAGTATTTCTTGGTGTGATTTACATTTTAGAGCTGATATTGAGAGAAACGTGAAGTTCTGCATCTAGGTATGAAAGTGTAAGGCATAGGTATAGGAAAAGAGAAACCAGGTCGGGAAGCAGTACATGTGAAAGGGAGCTGGGTGTCCTAGTAAAACCACAAGTTAAACATGAACCAGTGTAGTGTAGCTTCTAAATAAGCAAATGGGCTACAATACTAGGACTATGGAATCCAGATCATTGGAAGGAATTGTTCCACTATACTCTGTCCTGCTCAGATTTTATTTAGAATACTGTGTATAATTTTATTTATTTATTAAATTTATGCATTACAGTTCAAAAAGGAAGTGACTAGTTCATAGTAGCCATCAATAATACACACCAGAAGCAATATCACCATTTAGTAAATTAAATCGTTAAAAATATTAAGAGCACTGTATTCTAGTAAAGTATTTTTTTTTATTGTTTATCTATCCATCTCAGTACTGTTGATTGTTAACAAATCTCCAACATTTCAAATAGATGCTAGGGCCAACTTTATGTGCTCTATGGCGGTTACTGATTTCTTTCCCAACTTTAGGAGTTGTGAAATAAATGTTCATAATATCTGAATCTTAATGAAATATTTTAGCTTTAAAATCAACAAATTAATTATAAATACAGATTAACTTCAATTTAACATCATCTTAATATAGTAAGAAACATATTAAAATGTTAAAACAAACATTCATAATTAAGCTTGAGAAAAACATACCTCACAATTTCTAAAGCCTTGGCTATATCAAACACTACACTATCCTGTCCCTCAACAGGATATACTTCTAAAAGAGGCACACAATAGTCCATTTCTTCTAATATTTCATCAACTAACTGTTTTGGAATATTTGCAATATTAGAGGAAAAAGGTTCATCTATAGATACGGAAACATTAAAATTAGCTGAAGGATTGCTAGGCAGTTTACAAGTAACCTAGAATGTAAAACAAAAATAAAACAATTATAAAATATAAGTGATATTAAAACTTCTATACTTCCTAATTCTTTTGATTTTTATAATATAGAAACCCAATTCAGGGCAGTCATATATTTGAAGTATATAGTAGTTCTTTCATTATTTTACATCACTGCTAAAGAAATATGAATCTGCCCTGCCCACCTCCCCCATGCATAACTGAAATATGGCCTCTTATCCTGGGTGAAGACAATTCATGTCTGTGGTACACAAGATCGTTGTTCAAAGTTTTCCCGGGGTTACTTTTACAAACAAATCTCATTCACATGTATACAATACTGCCAAAAATATTGTCCACTCAGCATGTATCAATCTTTAGGGTAGGAGGAATGATTTTACTAATCTGAAGCATAAGGAGCAACCTTTTGAAAAACTGAAGCATAAGGAGATGAGGAGATTGTAAAATAAAATGGAAGCACAGCTAGCAGAGCAGATGTGAAGCCCAAGAGAACATATCCAATTGAGGAAGGTCTTATGCCTGGAAAAGCTCTACCCATTGTATTGGTGTTCAATAACATTTAAGCCATTCTACACACTAATTATTTAAGTCACAAAAACTTTTAAAATGTGCTATAATCAAAATTCACTATGTCAGTTCCAGTCAATATATATGGATTGGATGGCCTCCAATTAAAAAAAAGACCATTGTGTCTGGTTGGCAGAAATTATGCAAGCTATTGATAGTCTTTTTGATGATAGCTATAGTTTTATTAGAAAGCTTTAAAATAATAGTAAAATGCATTTAATTACCTCAACAAGCACCCCAATAAAAGGTATGGGAATTTCTTCAGAATTGACAAAAAAAAGTTCTGGGTTGGTTTTCCAAATTCCAAGCCAATTTTCTTTCATCTTCAATTTTTCTACAAGATACTTACTCACAGCTTCATTAGCATCTTCTGCCTTTTAAGTAACAGAAATATATATATATATATAATGTCCAAATTAGCACTTTCATTCAATGTTAGATCTGTATTTGTCAGTTGCCTCGAACTGCAAGATGGGCAGAAAATAAATTTATTAATAAGACCATCGCATCGATAAATTCACCATCAGTCAGTTGCAAAAGGCAACTTATATAAACAAAGAAAAGAAAGGGATGCAAAGTCTTCACCAATGAGCTCTTTTCATAATTCTGTCCTTTTATTCCTATGGTTTTCTTACCTCAGAGTGAGGTATTGTGTAAGAGCTTAGAGAAGAAATTTGTAGTAATGCATTCAGACCTGCTCCAATCAGTGCCATGATGGGTGAATGTTTTTACCTGATGCATTGAAACCAACTATTTTGTTTATCAATCACTAAGTATGGAAAATCAGGACAGCATCAGTCAGCAGTGAGTCGGAGCAGAATCAACGTCACCAGAATAAGGACTGGCAAAAGGAGCAGCTCATTTCATGCTACTGAGTTTATTGCTGTCTAAAGGGTGGATAGTCAGCACTTTGTGGGTCCTATGGATAATACAATTTAAACAAGCCTGTCTTGTATTTAGTATTACTGATTCCACAAACTAAATATAGTGATGACAAAGGAGTAGTAGAATTGAAGAGGGAAAGCATCTCTTTTTGAGAATCAAATTCAAACATGTCCAAAAGGCTTAATGGATTCTCTAATACAGAACACTTTCTAACCACCTTATATTGATATCTCTGGTATGTCTTATCTGGGAAAAAAACAATTTTACCTATAGTGATCCATATCCTAACCATAACACACGGTATGTTTTAAATAATATTCAGAAGCCATAACTTAATTACAAAACATGCCAGTGAGAAACTTTACTGGGACTACGCGGTTAATTTCAAACATGCCAATTACTGATGCTACCTCCCATTTAATTTCTGGGATGAATTCAAAGGTGTCATTTTTCTTTGCCTTCCTATCTAATGCACTAGGGCTAGAGGTCTTCAAACTTGGCAGCTTTAAGACTTGTGGACTTCAATTCCCAGAATTCTCCAGCCAGCATATCTGAATTCTCCAACCAACACAGCATACCATAGCTGGCTGGAGAATTCTGGGAGTTGAAGTCTACAAGTCTTAAAGCTGCCACGTTTAGAAGACCTCTGCACTACGCAGTCTCTCAGCCTCACCACAACCATGTCTCCCTCTTTTTCTCTCTCTCACACACACACTCGCAAACAAATGTTCAGAAAATGAACATTTTCAAAAAAAACATCCCTTACGTACGTTCCTCTGGAAGAACACAGAGAGAAATAGGCAAGCATAATGGGAAGGCTTCACCGGCTTTCACAGCTTCCAACCCACCTTGCAACCCTTCAAGAGGTCGTCGCAATACAGCGCCACCTTCTCCCGGCCGGTCAGCGCTCCCAGGTACGATGGGAATTCCCTCGGCAGCGGCCCAGCTTCCTCCTCCCCGTGGTCTTCCTCCCCGCCGAGACGAAAGAGACGGTGGCCCTTCGCCTTTCGAGGTGGGCTCTCCAATGGGCCAGGAGACGTGCCGGCAGCTCCCTCTTCTTCTTTGGGACCACTTTCCTTCTGTAGGTGGTCCGAAGCGCTCGACGCCATTTCTTCGCCGCCTCGCGCCTTTGTTTTTTGGCGCGCGACCGCCACGGCACCTCCACGAGGACGTCACACCATTCGCTCGAAGGGAACTAATTGCGGGACAATAGCGCTTTGAGGCGCGCAACCAATCAGCGTGGCGGAAGGCGCGTGCCTATGGTCACAAAGGGCCGTTGGCTGTTCTCTTCAAACGGTTACGTTCGGATCTTTGTTTTAATATTTTTTTTTTTTGAATTTATTCGCTGCCCAACTCCCAATAGATTCTAGGCGACTTAACAAAAGTAGGGGAAAAAACATCAAACCACGTTAAAAACAACAAAAAAGACGGATAGCTTGCACTAAAATAGCTTTTTTTCCAGATATTGCAAAATCTAATCCGCAAGGACTAATGAAAACAAAGACTCTACAAAGAAACTGTTGATGCTTGCATAAACAGAGAAATAGAAAAAGATGGAGCGACTGATCAATATTGCTTCAATTTGGAAAACTTTCAAAGGCCATAACAACTCCTTCGTGGAGTTGACCTACATTTTTTATAACTATTAATTTTTTAAACAAAATCAAAGCTAACTAAACAAGATGAGAAGAAAAAAGGAAAGAAAGAGAGATTAAAGCTAAAAATGCAGAAAGAAAAGAAAGACAAAAATATAGTGTCTTTTTTTCTAATCAAAGCTGTTAATTTTGCAATCTTGGCAAGTTCTATTATTTTCACCATCTATTATTCCATTATGGGCAACATCAAATTTTAACATTATTGCATCTATAAAGCCTTGCTGCTGTTATCATATATAAATTTAAAGTTCTGTGTATTTTTCCTCCTAACTTTTTGTCAATCACCCCCAAAATAAAGTGGATTCAGTATATTAAACTTTAAAATCTTATAAATTAACAAATGCATTGGAATCCATTTTTTTACATGTCTACCAAGCATGATAAAAAATCCCTTCTTATTTTCAGCGTGAATTCAAAGTACCTTTACATTTTAGATATTTTTTTCTGATGACAAACACTAATGAGACACCATTTTATACAAATTCTCTTTTTTTCTCTGTTTTCCATTTGTATGTTATAGCCAGATTTTGTAGCCTATGTTATACAGAGAGCCAGTTTGGTCTGATGGTTAAGGTACCAAGCTAGAATGGAATGGGACTTTTCGCCTAGATCCAGCTACAAAGCAGGAGACCATGACTTCTAGTCCTACTTTAACCATGGAAGCCAGCTCACTCTCAGCCCAACTTCACCTCACAGGGTTGTTGTGGCAAAAATAGGAGGATGAAGGTTTGTTGAGTATATTCGCTATCATGAGTTATTTGGAAAAATAAAGGTGGGATATTAAAAAAATAAAATACATTATTTTAAAAATCTTATAAACAGCAAAACTGAATAAAACAAAACACGGCCCCTCGACAAATAATAAAATATCAAACACAGGCCTAGGACCAAAGTTTCAGGGCTTTCTAGAACTCCAGGAGAGAGGACATCTTCCTAAAGGGGTGCTGTTCCAGAGGGTGGGAGCTGCAATAGAAAAGGCACACTTTCTTGGTCCCACAAGATGATAGTGTTTAATGAAGAGGACCTAAAGGCACTTACTCTGCCAGAATCTGGTGGGATTCAGCTGGTTCTCTCCGGATCACGCAAACTGGTAGCAGTGACTCTGGGAGGCTCTGCCCACCCGGACGTAATGTACGACTACTGCGCATACTCAGAAGACTGTGTGCATGCACAGAGCTGGCACACGCGCTCACATTTGCAAATAGGTAGGGAAGGTAAGTGAATCCCACCTCTGCCAGAATGTACTGGGCAGGCAGAAATGATTGAAGACAAGTCATCTATCAGATACCAGGCCCTATGCCATTTAGTACAGGATCCGACAGGTAATAACTAGCACCTTGAGTTGCACTTGGAAGCCAACTGACAACCAATGCCACTCATATAGCAGTGGTGACATAGGCATACTTAAAGTGACCATTACTACACACACTGCTGCATTTTGAACAAGCTGTATCCTCCCGGGGGGGGGTGTCTTCAAGGGCAGCCCCATATATAGTGCATTTTAATAATCCAATCCTGAGGTGAGCAGGGCATGAGTAACTGAAGTCTGAAGGTTTAATAAGCCTGAAGAGCTTATGTATTGTATATGTATGAAAAATACAAAATGTGTATATACATATAAAAATGTATAGAAAGTCAGGTGACTTTTTAAAAGTAATACCTTTTAAAAAATATTTCTTACCCTTCCATTATTACATATACCATCCAAAGAACTATGATTACTGAGCAGAGTTCAGTACCATCAATCAAATGGTTTTTAAAAAAGTTTCTGATGCTGAAAATGACTCCCCAGCCCCTGGAAAAAATTGAATACATCCAGTTGTAGAGTCCCAATTTCCAGTTCTTAAATAAAGATATTTTTATATTGCATTTTTTTCAACTTTGTTCTCACCAGCGTCTGATACTTGGAGATATGCTATTTCTGTTCAAAGGAAGTTGAGCTAGGCTTGCATTCCCTCTTCCTTTCAATACCCCAAGGCAGCTGTCCTGTGCATCTCTATCAGCAGGACGGCAAGATAGGTGCCAGCTTAGTTACTGAGGTACTGATACATACCTCTCTCCTCACATTCAATATTTTTTTTTTTTAGTCTTTGGGACATGTGAAGTGTCCAGTCCCTGGTGCATTGCAGAATTTTGAGGACTGCCTCTTGGATCTCTTTTAGTTACAGGTGTTCTTTGGGGATTCTGTCAACAGCCACCTGCTCCACCGTTTTCTGCATCCCAACACTTCAGGAAAATGCCTTTGAGAAGATGTAAAACAAATTAGAAAAGCTGCAGATTCCTTGTCTTTTTGCCTAGGAGGCCTAGCTCTACCGATGTAAACTGCTTCTTAGTTATTATTATTATTTAGCGTATAATGAGAACAGGACAGAAGAAAACATATACCACGCAATCCACATAATGATATATAAAACGTCTATGGTCATACAGCAGTGGCTTCCTAACTGGATGTCCAATTAGCTATCCAGCTGATGATTGTCCGGTGTTGCTTTGTGCAAATCTTCTAGATCTTCTTGGGTAGGGGTCCCCAACCCTACGGTATGCCAGAAACTGGGTTGCCCAAACAAGCAAAGCCCGATCCACAAGATGCAGGCAGCACACAAAACCACATCCCCTCCAGTCCGTGAAAAAACTTCTCTCCATGGAACTGTTCCCTGGTGCCCAAAAGGTTGGGAACAAGATAATACACGTTATGTGCAATATTGCACTTTAATAGTTTGCATATCGGCACCACTGCTAGTGTTTGAAAAGCAAACAAGTTTATTTTTATACCTGAAATGGAAACTCTCTATTTTAAACAATAGTATGGTTATTGAAATGTTTGGCAGTGCCTACATCTAAGTTTAAAATAAAAATAAACTTCCTTTGTAACTTTATCAAGTGGAAAAATAACAGACTACCTCTCTTACCTTTAACAAGGTTGCATTTTTCTATATAAGAGAAGTGTTTGCAAACTGGAAGTATTTTTAGAATATTTGCACAAATGACCAGTATCAATACAATAAATATAGATAGGTTTAAAGCTGGACTATATAAACTTAATGTTACTAATCTTTTTACTATCACAGAAACTCAAGCTTATCACGATCTTACTCAGCTGTCATATGCTGATTAAATCTGAAGTATTAGCAGAGGAGAGATGGAAATGGAGGATAATATTTTTGGAAGGCAGTTTGTAATTTTTAAAAATAATGTGGAGGATAAAGAGCTCCCTCCTTCTCCATCTTTCACCAATGTCTAGCAAAAATTCCAGTAGTAGAATGCTTTCTAAATGTGCAAAGATCACATTAATTGACAAAATAACATTATTTTAAAAATGTGGGACAACCGGGGTATGGGTGTGTGCTGGGTGACAGTTTAGAAAACCTCGCTCAATAGTTTAATAGTTATTAAAGCAGAAACATCTCATTATAACAGAAATAAACAACTGGCAATGAGAGGGTTGACCCAAAAGATCTCTGGGAGGACAATTTGCTCTCAGGGGAAATTATGGCTCATATGCATATACATACCCATCATGCTATACCCTCTTAGGGTAAGCAATATTTTATGCAAAATTAAGTAAGAAGTAAGAAATTGTATGCTGTTAAAAATCTTATTGTAAAATTCACAGACTCTATATGCATTTAGTAGCATGTAAGCAATGACATGAAAAGAAAAGAAAAAAACAAAGCAAGGAAGGAAATGAAGTAATAAAAAAATACTGCCAAAATTTATCGTTAAAGAATTTGGGTGTGGTGGTTTAAGCTAAATGCCCCTGTCCTCTATACCAAGATGTGGTGGTTGGACTCCAGGACCAATAAAGAGAATTGAGATTGAAATCCTACTATGGTATGGTATCACTAATGAAGTTGCTAAGTTTCTACCTGCAACATGTCCACAAGAGGGTATAAGATGTCCTGATCTTGGATTGACGTTATGTTATTATCTTGTTATTTTCTGTCTATTTTACTCTATTTCTATTTTATTTTATGTTTTATACTGTTTGACTGTATTTTATTCAATTTCTCTGTTTCCATAGTTTTGGAACATAAATTTTGTAGGTTTTATATGACTGTTACACAGTGGGGGCTCTATTATTTTGTTACTTGGTCATTGCTTTTAAGCTTTTTCTTTAATTTTGCTGGACATTGACCATAATTTAATAGACTTGATTTGACTTGAGAGGTTTGAGTTTACGGTTTTGTGGAACCATAGCTATGAAACCATAGACACAAAATCAAGCAGATCATTTAAGCAGTTTCTATAATCAAGGCTATGGTTTTCCCAGTTGCAATGTATGGCTGTGAAAGTTGGACCATAAGAAAGGCTGAGTGCCAAAGAATTGAGGCCTTTGAACTATAGTGCTGAAGAAGACTCTGTGAGTCCCTTGGACTGCAAGGCGATCAAACCGGTCAGTCCTAAGGAGATCAACCCTGACTGCTCTTTAGAAGGCCAGATCCTGAAGATGAAACTCAAATGAAACTTTAGAAGAACACTTGACAGCTGTGGCCGGGAGGTCTTTTTATCAGGTTCGCCTGATTCGCCAGTTGCGTCCCTTTCTGGATCGGGACTCGTTAAAAACGGTCACTCATGCCCTCGTCACTTCACGCCTGGACTACTGTAATGCTCTCTACATGGGGCTCCCCTTGAAGAGCACCCGGAGGCTCCAGCTGGTCCAGAATGCGGCCGCGCAGGTAGTTATGGGAGCAGCATGGCGCTCCCATGTGGCTCCCCTCCTGCGCGAGCTGCACTGGCTCCCTGTGGTCTTCCGGGTGCGCTTCAAGGTCTTAGTTACCACCTTTAGAGCACTCCATGGCTTAGGACCGGGGTACTTACGAGACCGCCTTCTGCCACCAATAGCCTCTCACCGCCCAGTACGCTCCCATAGAGAGGGGCTTCTCAGGGTGCCGTCAGCCAAACAATGTCGACTGGCGGCCCCCAGGGGGAGAGCCTTTTCTGTGGGGGCACCCACCATCTGGAACGAGCTCCCCCCAGAGATACAGAAGATTCCGGATCTGCGCACTTTCCGCCGTGCCCTCAAAACATTCCTGTTTCAGCAGGCCGGCCTGGCCTAACTTTCCCTTTATATTGCTTTTTGATTTTATTTTAAACTGGGATGTCTTGAATTATCTAGGACCAGAATGTTTAGTATATTTTAATTGGTTTTTTATTATTAACGTTTGTATTACATGTATTTTTATCGTTCGCTGTTCACCGCCCTGAGTCCCTTAGGAATAGGGCGGTATATAAATTTAATAAATAAATAAATAAATAAAAATAAATACTTTGGCCACCTAATGAGAAGGAAGGACTCACTGGAGAAGAGACTAATGCTGGGAAAGATTGAGGGCAAAAGAAGAACGGGACAACAAAGAATGAGGTGGCTGGTTGGAGTCACCGAAGCAGTAGGTGTGAGTTTAAATGGACTCCAGAGGATGGTAGAGGACAGGAAGGCCTGGAGGAATGTTGTCCATGGGGTTGTGATGGGTCGGACATGACTTCGCAACTAACAACATAATCATATATAAATTCTGTACATCCAACAACCAGACTGGCCAGGCTTTGGTCTGGGTTCTTGAGGAAGACGATTCAATGCGATGGTTGTTCCAGTGAGCTTGATTTCACACCCCCACATCATTTACCTTATTCTTCCTGTTATTTTTCCAATGTAGTATGTAGTTATCACATGCTTTTCCTGTAGGTACATCCCCTACTTTGCTGAAGTCTGTTGTTAAACTGTTTTCATCTGCTGTTAAGCCTTTCCAGACATCTTGCCAAGCTGCTTCCCATTCTTGTCTCAGAGATCAGACTCTCTGTTGCGGTTACCAAGCTGTTTTGTTTGTTTTCTTCCCTTGGTCAGTCAAAATGCATCATGGGTCTACTGCAGTTTGTTCTTCAGACATTTTCTATAACATGATTAATGAGCAAGCTTGAACCAGCTGAAACTAAGCCAGGAACTGAAGGCTGGCCATGAAGTGAAAATTGTACATCAGTCAGTAAAATCTATCTAGCTAACCAACAAGCATAAAACCGAAGTGCAGAGTAAATTTGGTGCTGGCATCCTATGAAAAGAGAGGGATGGATAGAAAACTGGCTGGAAGACATTCCATGTACACATGACATGGTTCTCAATCTCTCTTCTCCATTCTTCTCAGGCTTCTTGATCAGTTACTTTGATGAGTCTTGGTGAATATAAGAGGTGGTTTGTATGTAAGCAAAGCCTCATTATATTGCAATTAATAAAGCTAGGAGATTCATAAAAATATTCTTCTGTAAAAGGTAAAGTTCACCTTGCACATATGTGCTACTCGTTCCCGACTCTAGGGGGCGGTGCTGATCTCCATTTCAAAGCCAAAGAGCCAGCACTGTCCGAAGACGTCTCCGTGGTCATGTGGCCAGCATGACTAAATGCCAAAGGTGCACGGAACGCTGTTACCTTCCCACGAAAGGTGGTCCCTATTTTTCTACTTGTATTTTTTACATGCTTTCAAACTGCTAGGTTGGCAGAAGCTGGGACAAGTAATGGGAGCTCACCCCGTTATGCGGCACTAGGGATTCGAACCGCTGAACTGCCAACCTTTCAATTGACAAGCTTAGTGTCTTAGCCACTGAGCCACCACATCTGTGTACTGTGTTCTTGTGTACTATGTGTCATATAATGAGACTCATTAGCCATTCCATTACCCCAGAAACATTGATGTCTCATCGAATGATGTGTGAATGTGCTCCCCACATGTACTCCCAACTATTGACAAAGGCTGCCTCTCCAGCAATCTCAGGGTGCCCATTTGTGTGTAAGTACTTGTGTGTGACCTGAGTGTGAATTTCGATATGCAGAAGGTTTATTTAGTTAACAACCCAGAAGAATCTTACACACTTAGATGACATGCAGCCCCACTTTCAGGAAGACATGGTGCCTCAATATTTCTAGTAGCAGTCCAATCATCTTTCCATTCAAAATGGGCAAATGGTGCAATCTGTTGTTTGGCATATGCTGATATTTACAGAAGAATGAGAGGAATGCCTCTGTGGTAGGGCTGCTATCAATGCTCTTCTGGGAGGATTAAAATGTTATGCATCAGTATTACATGCAAATCCCCTGGAACAGGACCACCAGTTCACACTGTCTCAGGAAAAAGCAGATGCAGCAGTGAAAATCCACTAGGCTTGAAATATTGCAAGTTCAAAGGACGTATCCCTGAGCTATTCTAAAGCATTCTAAAATGTTTGTATGTGTGTGCTGACTTTTATCAAAAATCCTAAAGGAATGTAATAGCAAACTACTTCTACAGCATTTCCAAGAAAAACTCCATGGATTCAGTCACAAAGGATTAAGGAAAAATAAAATGCTTCCACACTGATGCTTGAAACACAGCATTGATGATTGACTGATGTAGTCAGTCTAGTCAATTTTGCCTCAAGGTATTCATTACTTTTATCTATCTAGCATGTAGGGCTTGAATTCTCTACATAGAGATCTGTTTCCCATTTCATCACTATTTTGAAAATACATCAAAATCACATACCTTTAATACCTTAAGAGTGAGGCTCTGAATAGTAATAACTATGTGTCAACAGTATTTTCTATAATTCTGGGATGTTGTGTGTGTACTATACTCAGAGCTTTCAGTTCTAAGTTATCACAATCCATGCCTTTTGCTATCAGAATGGCTGAGATTGGGTACTGTGTCACACCACAAACCACAGGCTAAATGGGATGCCTAGCATCCCTGTTTATAGCTCCTCCAGTATTCCAACAGCAATCAATTGCAAATTGAAACTGGAAAAATAATGGTGGATGTTCCCCCTTAGAAGGTAAAATTCTCTCAGTCCACCCTTAAACCCTTCTAATTCTGGATAAGATCTAGATTCCCAGCTAAGAAAGGTCACCCACCCATTAAAAATTGCAGTGGCCAGGATCCCACACTCAGAGACAGACACATGTACACACGATGGCATGTTTGTGGCTTATCACTAGGCTCAGAATTTAATTTCCCTATTGCATGAGGATCAGTATTAGAAAAGATTTCACTGTTCATTTAAGAGGAAATATTCTTTTTCTTGTTTCTGAATGCTGGTTTGCATTCTGTCCAAACTCTACTTTATTTAGACCCTTTTTACTTCAAGGACAATAATTTTATTTTTACTTCAATGACCATAATTTCTCCCTCTAAAATCTGAATGATACTGAATGATACTATGGATTCTTCTGCAATTGTGAGGGTTTCACATTGGATCAGAGCAGCTTAAGCACTTATTAGTCTTGTTCAGGATAGTATACATCTGCCCCTTATTAAAGTATGGTTTCAATGGCACAGATTCTTCAGTACTCCATGATGTGTTGTTCATAAAAATCAGTGGAATGTAGGTAAGAACTAGTGATTTATTCTCTGTCTTTTTTACCTATCTGTTCTTTGTCTATAATATGTAATCTCAGATCATGTCTTCCTGTTTTTGTTTCCAGGTATATATGCATCGAATACATGCTGGCTCTTCCCTTGGTAGGATGTTGTTAATTAGGTGTTAGTCTTTCCCTTTCTCTACAATATATTTCCATAAATAAATCTCCTTTGTGTTATAGTTTAAAACCTGCTTCATTAACCATTGCTCCAGTCAGATCTTTGTTTTCAGGTATATTCACATGCGCACACAGTGCAGTTCAACACCCCATCCCTCAAAGCTAGCAAAATAACCAGCAGCAAGAAAGGTAAAGACAAAGACTAACAATGAGTAAGCAGCAGTTTGAAATTAAATATGTTGAAGCTGGACTTGACAGAGTCCTGGATGTCACTAAGGTCTTATTTACTCATGAGAAGATTATTTTGAAGAATTCTCTTTCTCGGAAAGGCAAAGAATCATCAGAAATACACTTCACATTCAAGCATGGTGCATCCAGTAAAACAGTATTGCATAGAAATTGAGTCTGAGGGGAATCATTTGGCAAGCTCAGTAAATTTGACTGAATGACCAGTAGCTGGAAAGGTAAGGTGAAATGACAATGAATACAGTAGCAATTATTCAGTCATTTGGCACAGAAAAGTTCTGGAAGAAAACACTATTTAGCAGAAGGCCACTAATTCTAAGCTCTCTGTTTCACAGACAAGCATTGCCCTGGGAGACACAAGTCCAATGTAAATCCGAGATGCTGATGAATCCAACAGGCAACAGAAACAGAATCCAAATGGAGACAAAAGGCAAGTACAGTGATCATGACAAAGTGTGCCAAAGCCAACATCAATTGCACTTTTAGTTAAAGCTAGTATTCCAAGTATCCCATCTAGGGCTCAGAGAGATATTCTTCTCATGGGAAATCTCAGTTTCTCCACAGAGCCTGATCAGTACTAGAAAGCATTGATCTTTACCTGTTGTTTCCTTTTCTCTAAACTTCCCTTTGAGGACGTGTCTTCCATGTCAAAGTCAGCTGTGTTTGGATAAGATATGGAGCCTCCTACTGTATCTTGGCCAGGGAAAGAAGCTGTCTGTATTTGGCTTCACTTCTTTGTGAAGTTGCCCGAAGAACCTCATCCAGTTCTTCATTCATCAAACAGTGATGGATTCCTGGCAAATTTATCTTTTGTCCTCCAAAGCTTCAGGTTATTCTCTGAGTGGGAATCCTCTGGAGCGATGGAACCCTGGGGTAAGAACACAGGGTTGCACTTTTCTTCTTCTTCCTCCTCCTCCTGTAAGTCTTCCAAGATTAAATCATCTGCGTGCAACTGGAAAGAAAAAAAATCTTGATTTATTCTAGTTTTTCTCTATCTCAGCTCTTCAGGCAGAAAAGTGCAATTTCAAGTCTGGCTGCTATATTTGATTTGAATTCTAATTAGTGTTAGGATTGTATTTGAAAACCTTTTCAATCAATGAAATCAATTCCATTCCCAAATGAGAGGATTTGCAGAAGGAGAGGGAGGGAGGGAGGGAGAGGGAGAGGGAGAGATAGAGAGAGAGATGGAACTGAATTTGTATTTGCAAATGTCTTTCTTTTTTGCATTATGGAGGCATAAATTCAGGTTGTTGAGGACTATAGAAAAGTGCTAGGGAAGATTGCTGGGGCTTTTAATGGTTCTCACAATTTCCATCATGCTAGAAATCCCTCCAGTTACATTCCTTGGCTACCTAAGAGGGAGATGACATTCAGACATTTTGGCCAGGTAAAAGCAATTTTTAATTTTAGGGTGGCACTACAGGGTGTATAAGAAGATGGACAGCAATTTGAATGGCACTGCTGGACTTTTGAACGTGTGAGTTCCTCCTCATGATTGCCATTCATTGAAGAAGGAAAAAACAGTTTGAGTTCTCTGCCCTCTCTTCATATGGCTCTTCCAAGCCATATCAGCATATGGGAATAGTTGTAGCGAATGCTTCCAAAATTGTAGCATGCTCTAACAGGCTATCACTACAGGTGGTGACTTGGACATGCTGCTCTCTATTCCAAGACTATCCAGAAAGGTTGGGGTTATGGAAAGAAATAGCAGCCCAAAATTATTGCATGATTTTTTTGGCGGTGTTTATCTGCCACCCCACATAACAGCCCTATTCCTAGCTATCAAGTAGTACTGTTTTGCAAGTAGTACTGTTTTGCAGAGATGTGTATTTCTTTTGATACCAACCATTCCTATGTCTCTTCTTTTTGTAGACTGCATCAGTCCACATTCTTTTAAAGCTATATTCTAATTAGCCAAAGTCTAATTTATTTCTCCTGAAATAAGTCTTTTTGATGAAAATTCTCTTCTACTTCCTCCCACAGATGGAATTTCTACTCTCTTCTTTTTAACTTTTGCATTTAATAAAAATCATAAGATGACTTGGGCTAGCGTCCCCTTCCAGCAAACTCTAGTATCAGCTCCGTGGTGCCCCATTATCTAGAAAAGATAATGAAAGGAAAAAGAACCCATATTTGGAAGCTGAAGACTCATATCCATCAACATTGGCCAAGAAATGACATTCTTTATTTTGTTTATTTTATAAGACTTAGCAGTGCAGGCAGGCGAGAATCATGGCTTAGATTGGATTGGGAGCAGCCTTACTTCCATCCTACACTCCTGAGCCATTCTACAGCCCTGATTGTTGACTAACAACAACAGGATCCTTGGCAGATTTTATGAGAAGTAAAAAAGGTGGCAATTGCACAAGGTCCATCTGTGACATTAACTTGATGAGAACACCTTCAGAGTTGAGATGGGGGAGTGAGGACCCCTACTTGTAGTGGGAGATAGATCAGAGGGGTCTCAACCCTGAGACATTAGTGGGAGGTCATCTGGGGAAAGAGATATATACAGTTGGTTTATTGAGTACGTATGTTGTAATTGCAGCTAACATGGTGACCTATTTTCCTCTTTTACTGGTATTTTGAAAACGCATCAGAATCATAGGCCATTTAATTGTCCCTTACAATGGAGGCCCTCAATAGTAATCGATATACAATGGCATTTTCTACAATTCTGGGATATTGTACAGGATAAATCACAAAAATCTGGGAAATCTGAATCCCCTGAATAGGTAAGTGGTTAGTATTTTATAAAGTGTAAGACAGCCAAAATGAAGCACATTTTTATGTTAATAGGACATTTCAACCACATTTTTTTTTTTTTTGGCTAGAGTACATCTTCTATTTTGCAACTTTTTAGACTTTATATTGTAGATGGCTGTATTACAAACAGAAAAGCTATCCAAAAATGTACACCTGCACTGTAGGATTTTTCCCCCCCAAAGCTAACATTAAGAATGGCTCCTTTTGTTAACAGGATCCATTTTTAAGCAGTTTCTCAATATCTAATGGCCCCAAATGTATTGGACGTCATCTGTAGCCTGAGGCCTTGGAAATGTCCAATATTATGAGTTCTGCTTGCTTACATACATTTATTCTCCAAGCACCTACACCCTTCTTTTATCACTTGGACTCAGTCCTAAGTTAATAAGAGTTTTAGCATTATTCTGCTCTTGTGTTACCTTGTGGGAAACCTTTTTGGATGAGATGAGAGAACAGTGGAACATTGTTATTGATCACATGTGGAATATATTTACTAAGGTATCCATTTTAGTTTTCAGTTCCCTGGCTATGGAGCTGAATTTGTCACCTAATTTGGCTCATCATATCTGAGCCGCAGTGGTTAGAATGCAGTACTGCAGCTAATTCTGCTGACTGTAGAAGTCAAGTCTCACCAGCTCAAGGTTGACTCAGCCTTCCATCCTTCCGAGATCGGTAAAATGAGGACTCAGATTGCTGGGGGCAATAGGCTGACTCTATAAACTGCTTAGACAAGGCTGTAAAGCATTGTGAAGTGGTATATAAATCTAAGTGCTATTGCTATTTTAAAAAATAGGATGGCTAAAGATAAATATAGAATATTGCCACTCATTCCCCCCATGGATACAAGCATGTGGTAACATTTGGTTCATCACTTGAAATTATCATATACATTTCCAGTGTCTTATAGTTACAGATGAAAATATAAGCATGCATCAGGTTTCTTACAGTAATCCAGTTGCTTGGTTTACATGTACATCAAATCAGAAAACTTGAATGAATTTAGTTTTCTGTCAAGTTACCCAACTAAGAAGTTGCAGAATCTGCATCTACTCCAGTTGAGCTAATTTCGGTACATGGCTGTAATGTTCTTCTGAAAGAAAAATCATTGGGAAAGCACCCCTCCTGCTTCATCCTATGCCTCATCTTCAACAATGCAAGACCCATGTTGAGAATCGGCCCAAATGACAAGACACAGAAATGGAGGAAACATTTGGAAGAACTTTGAAGACCCTCCTTCCGACATCACTCCTTTCTCCTCCCATGTCCATCTTCTGTGCCTCTTATATAAAAATGATTACCTGGACCTATTTGTGCCTTAATTGGAGGGGGAAGCTGAGACTAGCTGAAATAAGTACACTACCTCCTTAAATAAGATCTTGAGTTCCAGTATACATTTAGATTATTGCCAAAAGGCCAACTAGATGCAAATCACCTGTTAAACCTATTAATTGGGTCAGGTAGGTTCTCCTTGCTTTTTTTTTTTTTTTTTTTTGAGCACTATCCTCAGCTTTATAGAATGTACAAGATAAGTGAAAGTTAGTCTCCTCAGGAAGCCCAACTATTGCTTTGCACAATCCAACTATGGTCTTCTCTGATGTCATTGACTTAAGACAGCAAATTAGAATACTATTTTTAGTGATTAAACTCACTTTTCTAAGTTCCCTATAGGGAATTGTGGTTATAAACTAGTTTTTATTACTTTAACTGTTGTAGAAAAAGATTGCATTGCGGATGAAATTTGGGAGTATACCAAAGAGTAATTCCATCTATGTAATTCAGATGATGTTAAAAACAGACTTACAGTCTGAAACCAGAAACTTTTCTTCTAGGAAATGGATAGATAAAGAAATGGGGGGGAAAATAATTTAGTGATTCCATCCATGCAGGTTTCTCAGCACAAGGTCAATTTATCAAAACTTTGGGGGGCACTGTTGTGCTACATAAAAACCCAAGGCTTGCTACAAAGTACCACTCTTTTGTTGCTGAACAGGTGATTGATGTTAGCACCATTTACCTCTCTTGAGCTGGTCAAAATGTGAATGATGAATTATGTACACAAAGGCATTCTGGATGGATGGATGCATCACATGAAAAATAATATTTGCTTAATTGTGTTTTAGTGAATAAACTGGTTAGATTCACATTTTAAATTAAGACAAAATAAACAAACCATGTAAGGGATTAGCATAGTAGATACTGTAACTACAGTTACTGCTGTTCCTAGGTAGTGGCTGGGTCCATATGTCACTAATCCTGATTTAACATATTTTGAACAAACTTATTTTATTGTTTTATATTCTTATTCTGCTGATCCTGGAGTCAATGTCTTTGTCCAAAAACACATTGCTCAAGAAGATGGTGCTCCCCAAGTATTTGAAGCTTTTACATTTGTCAACTGAGTGTAATCAACAGTGATTTTTGGTTTCATGGGCTTGGTCTTTGGCACAGGCTGGTAAAGTACTTCAGTCTTGTTCAGCCTGATAGTCAAGCTGAACATCTGAGAATTTGTTCAGCACCAATTGTAGATCACTTTCTTTGTGCACCAGAAGTGCACAGTCATTAAGTTTCTTGAATGACTCTATAGAGGCATTTCATCCAGGTGTTCAAGTATAAAAAAGAGAGTCATCAAAAGTCTGCCAGTTGGTACCTGATGTACCTTCCGCATTCAGAACCTGGACAGCTTGTGACAGCATGCAAATGAGAACAGATTGAATAGGAAACCATTTTTTACATCACTGGAAATGGCAAATGCAGCTGATATATCACCCATTGTAAAGAACCTGACTTGTCATTCCATTGTGGAGTAGCTAAATCAACTTTGTGAATTTCCTTGAGCATCTATAATACCTCAGGATGATCCAGAGAGCCTGCCTGTTTACAGTGTCAAATGCCTTTGTCGGGTCAATGAAGACAGAATAAAGAGTCTTGCTCTGTTCAGTGTTCTCCTGGACATGCCTTACAGCAAATATCATGTCTGCTATATTCCATTCTGACTGAAAGCCACAGTGCATCTCTGCAAAGTTCCTTTGTGAGACAGTGACAAGTCTATTCAGGAGAGTGTGGGCAAAGATCTTGCATGCAATGAACAGCAATGAGTCCATTTGCATCGTTTCTGCTGTCTGATTTGCATCCCTTATTTATGAAAAGAGCTACAATTGCCTCTATGGATCAAATGTCTCCTATACTTAATAATAATAATTAATGTATATTAAAGCAACAGCAACAGTGGGACATCACTTTCCATATTTGTGACACAGAAAAAACAAATAATTGTCCTATAAAAATAAAATTCCTTGTAATCACAATTAGGTAAATCATTTTCAGACTGATGTCAAAATCTCAAACTCTATATTTTCTAAACAGTCATAAACTTGTAAAATATGTATTTAAAGCATCATATTCTGAAATGTTTATTCTGTGTTATAGCTAATAAATCTGCTATGCCATTAATACATTGTATGATGGTTGTTGTGTAATGAAATCTAAAGACAATGCACAAACTGTATTTCATTCTTTTTTCCATCAGTTTGTACCTCTGTTCTACAGTAAATCGGTATACAGAAATCAGCTTGCCTTCCCTACCTAGCCTGCCTTTCTTAAAAAGCAAACAGAGATCTTACACAACAGCTAACTCAATCTTTGTTTGCATTCCTGAATCTTAAAAGAGCTATGGAGATTCCATGGTGATAACTGTCTCTAACTTAAGAACAATAAATCAGAACTAGTCCTTAGCCCTGTCTGGCAGGACCAATCTACTACAGAGATGACAATGCTATCATTTAGATCAGATCACATCTAGGATAAATTAAACAGGAACAAGAGAAAGGGAAATGTCCTATCATATGGCTGCTTATGTTTATACATTGATAATATCAGCAGCAATATATATTATTGATTGCTTTAAAAAAACAACTAAGAATTTTGTGTGTGAAAAGCTGCTGGAGGCAGTGTAACAATAAGAAAACATTAAAAATAATCTGTCATAAATGCAATCAATACATGGGTGAAATGCTCCCGGTTTGGACTGGATTGCCCGATCCAATAGCGGTAGCGGTGGGTGGTTCGGAGAACTGGTAGGAAAAATCCCTGCCCCCCACATGCCCAGCTGAGCTGCACAATCATCAGAGGCTTTTTTTTTTTTTTAAACTTTTAAAAGCATTTTTTCTAAAACCTCTTCGGCTGAAGAGGTTGTAGAAAAAATGCTTTTAAAAGTAAAAAAAAAAAAGTTGGCCACGCCCACCCAGTCACATTAACCCCACCACAACCAAGCCACGCCCACAGATCCGGTAGTAACAAATTTTACATTTCACCACTGAATCAATATATAAAAATCAGATAACATCTTGTCACACTTCACCATGATTGAGAACAAGAATCTGGAATGCAGTTGGGAAATTATGATTACCTTGATTCATAATGAAGGATTGGATGGATCCATTTACCTCTAGAACAAGATTTTTCATAGACATATTGGTTGAACTTAATAGTAACCAACTTAGTCACAATCTAAATAAGGTCACAAAATGAGATCATGTCACTAAATTCTACCTTTATCAGTTTCCTGTAAATGTCCTGTTTGCTAAAGGACTAGCGTAATTGCTGCTGTTTGTTGTTTATTGTCAAAATGCCCTCTAGATTGCTTATATATCTTGCTCAAGAGCCATGCAATTCTTTAACTTGGAAATGCAGTTTAAGAACTGGAAGTTGAACCTAAATAATTAGGGCTTGCCCTATTATTGCCATATTTTGGGGGGAAAATGTGTGTTTTCTTCTGGCCTAAGATACTTGGAATCTTTCCACTACTGTATTACAAATGGTGTAATTTACGGTGTAATCAGGCCAAAGCCATCTTGATTTGTAGAATAAATTCCTCACATATTGTTTATAAACATTTGAATTAGGTTCTCCCTCCCGCCCCCCAAATAAATAGGAAAGGATGCAGACTTGTAATATAAAGCCTCAGTGGCGCATTGGTTCGAGTGCAGTCCTGCAGGCTACTTCTGCTGACTGCCTGCAATTTGGCAGTTCAAATCCCACCACGCTCAAGGTTGACTCAGCCGTCCATCCTTCCGAGGTAGGTAAAATGAGGACCCAAATTGTTGGGGGCAATATGCTGACTCTATAAAACGGCTTAGAGAGGGCTGTAAAAGCACTGTAAAGTGGTATATAAGTTTAAGTGCTATTGCTGTTGCTATAAATGTTATATTGTCAAATCTTGTTTGTATAATTCTTTCTTAAATAGTTTGATATCATTTTTAAATAATTATTGGGTTAAATCATTATATGTAATGTTCCTCACAAATGTTCTCTTCTGTTGAAAGGGCACATTGTAACAAAGTGAAGTGCTTATGTGATTGGTGAATGTTTGGAAGAATACATATCATCAAATCATTACTTACTACAGAATCAGAAGGAACTACAGTTCCATGATCACTTTGGTTCATTTAAAATAACTGATAGGCAGAGTTGCATATCAGAGATATCAAAGTTGACTTACAGTTTGATTTGTTGTATATGAAGTATGAATTGAATTTAATATTTTCCCTAACTAAATATAAGCCCAATTGCAGGTAATTTACATGTGTTCATTTTAACCCATGATTAGCCAAACTATTCTTTTCTTCATTTCCTTTTTCCTGTGTTGAAATAGAAATAGTTGGCCATTTGGGACAGGATCTTCACATTTGTCTTTAAATGTTGGAATGGTGGTACATAAGTGATATCCAAAATGTATGTATATCCAAAATGTATCTAGCAATATGTGTTATTTATTTATTAAATGTTTATGCTGCCTGACTCCAGTGACTTGGAGGTTCACAGTTAAAAAGAACAATTTAAAAAATAAAATGACAAAAAACAAAGGACAAACATGGCACAAACTTGACAGCAATGAATACATAGCTATATTATCCAGAAGGGGGCTTCAATCACCCACACCAAAAACCTATATTATATGCTATAATCAGTATCACAATAATTAACTGTGATCCCAGACTCTTCAAATCTCTTGAAAATTTATACCAAATCAGAGCTAGCTTGGTGTGGAGGTTAAGACATCAGGCTAGAAACCAGGAGACTGTGAGTTCTAATCCCACTTTAGGCATAAAACCTAATCTTTCTCTCTCAGCCCAGCCCACCTCACAGGGTTATTGGGGGAAAAATAGAATTACTATTAGATATCTTCACTAATTTGAGTTACTTATAAGGTAATAAAGGAGAGATAAAAATCTAATAGTGTATTTTTAATATGAATGTACAACGGCTTGAGGGTTTATATCTCAAAAAACTGAAATGTAAGGACATACCTTTTAAAAAATGTACTATTGTATGTTTGAATATTTGGCAGATCACTCCATAGGAACTTTTGCCAACTGTGTATTTCTCTAAATGATTGAATTATGAGTGATTTGAAACATTTTTAGAGTACTATCGATTTATCTTTTTTTCTCAATAGGATGACTTTAACATTTAAGAAAGCATGATTAGATTACTGTACTCGGCCAAGATGCTTAGAGCAAGTGTGATTCAACTATTGGCTGTTTCACCTTCAAATCTGAATGCAAGCCTGAAAAGATTGGCGACTATGTACTCATGCTTTATTTATTTGTACTAGGTAATCAGAGCCGGTTCCTATCTAACAGAGACCGACTAAATGTAGATTGATCTGAGGGACATGGGACTGAAGTCGAATTGACTCATATCCGAATAAACACTGAACATCTTGTTGTGACTACTTATCCTCAGAGAGCAAATTTAATCAAAAGGGGTTTCTGCTTTAACTTCCGCCAAGTCTTAATTTGGGTAGCTTTTAAATGAAAAAACAAAACGAAACGAAACAAAACTCAAGTTCACATCTTCCCAGAGAGCTGTAGTGTATCTTTTTTCTTCGCCCGCCGAGACATCCAACTATTTATTTATTTTTAGTAAAGCCGTTTATAAAACCAACGTAGTTTAGAAATCAGAGCCGGCGGGGTTTGCAAAAGGCGGCGGCGGCGGCTGAATCGTACCGTACTGTACTTCCAAGTTAGACCACAACTTCAACTGCTGCGCTTTTCCTTACTTGGAAATAAGTTCCCCCCGGGATTCTGCAGGACTTCCTTCCGCGTAAAAACGCGCAGCGAAGGCAGAAGCTACATTCCTGCAGCGAGGGGGCCGGGACTCAAGTCGCCGCGCTGCTCCTTTGCAGCGCTTCCGACAGCTTTGGATTAATTTAGAATCAATAAATTAAATAATAAAATAAATAATAAAAAGTAATAAAATAATCAATCAAACAAACAAATAAACCTGGCCTGGTGGTGGGGTAGAAAGTTGAAGGCTTTGCTGCTATCTCTTCCTTTCTTTCCCTTACGGGCTCTTTTTTTCTGTTTGGCAAAAAGTTCCCACGCGGGAATCCTTCCCCATTCAGGACATTCCAAGAGGGAGAGGCGGCGGCGGGGGGGGGGCGAGGCCGCGCCTGGAAGGACCCTGGTCAAGCCCTATTTCGCCCCCCCCCTCACCCCACGCCTCCACTCACCCTCACCCTCCGCCTCTGCTAGAGGGCTGCGTATCCCAGCGTGCAACGCGGTGCCCCCACCCTTTAGCAAAGAGAGCCGAGAGAGGCTGCGTGCGTGCGTGTGTGTGTGTGTGTTTGCGCGCTACAACTTTCTATGCACACTCGGTGGATGTGAGAGCGGTGCTGCAGCGAGCCGGGGCCCTCTTTTCCTCGGGAGACAGCGGAGAGCAAGGGGCGGGCAGGCAGGCGAGCCGCTTTTGCGGGAAGTGGCGCTTCTGGGCTCCGGAGAGGGAAGGGAAGCCGCGGGGATGGACGTCCGCTTGAACCTTGGGCTGCTCTTGCTGCTGCTGATCGGGCCGTGCGGCGGCGCCATGGACGAGTGCGCGGATGAGCAGAGCGGGCGGCCCCAGCGCTGCATGCCCGAGTTCGTCAACGCTGCTTTTAACGTCACCGTGGTGGCCACGAACACGTGCGGCAGCCCGGCCGAGGAATACTGCGTGCAGACCGGCGTCACCGGGGTCACCAAGTCTTGCCACCTGTGCGACGCCTCCCAGCCTCACCTGCAGCACGGCGCTGCCTTCCTCACCGACTACAACAACCAGGCCGACACCACCTGGTGGCAGAGCCAGACCATGCTGGCCGGCGTCCAGTACCCCAGTACCATTAATCTTACTCTCCATCTCGGTGAGTGGTACCGGCTGGGCGGGGTCGGGGTGGACTAGAAGCTCTCGGAGGTGCCCTTGATCCAGCCAATGTAGCTGCTGCATTGCAGGCTACCAAGTTCGGCAAGGCATCGGTGTGCTTTCCCCCCCCCCCCTCTTTTTCTTTGATGTCTCGGCTCTCTGCCCACAACTTGGATTTTGTAGCATCTCCTGGGCAGGAATTTGGGAAGGGTTAGGCCTCTGAACAGCGATCATCCTCTATGAAACTCTGGGGATGCCGTTGAAGTTTTATTGAGGATTCTAGTAAGCAGATGTTGGGAGATAGTTTCCTCTTTGATCTGCGATGTGGTGGATTTCCTTTTTCACTGGAACAGGAAATGAAATGCCTTTCTGCTCCCACTCTCTTTAACTGACCTATAGTTAGGTCCCAGGAAGTTGTGTTCTAAGTGGTGGGATTTTAAGCATGGAGTGGAAAAAAGACTCCGAATAAATGCAGGATCTCTGTACTGCACCTAGTCCAGAGTAATACTGTGGGAAAGAGAGTCAAATAGCACAATTGGCAGTTTCTTCTAACCATGTACATTATTTCTTTTCAAGAGCCTGCCAAAATATCTTGAGGGTTTTTTTTTCTCTTTACTTTTCCCACTACGGTTGTAAAAAATGAATTATCACAAAATAAAGTCTCTGGGTGCATTGTGTGTAGAAGTTGTTTGGCATACTTTTTGAATGAGTGGGTGTCTGCACAGCATCTTTCTTGATTTCTTTATGGTTTGGGGTTTTTTTAACCAAAAGGGTGATGGAAGAAACGTCTGTGTTATTGGCTTTGGTTGCTGCTTACTAAAACAGGTGTGTAGAAGACAAAGAAACTTTATTTTACAAATTAGAGAAATCCAAATGTACTGAGATAGCAGCCACACCCAAGATTAAGAGAGGCATATAGTACTTTCACTTGTTTCGTCCAGTGGCAGCAATTAGTAGTGTAAATAGCCATTGTGTTCATTGTCAGATCTGGAAAACTACCAGGTATAAATAAGTCAGTGGCTGTAGTTTACATACTAATTATATAGTTTATAATTAATATACTTTTAAGTTGCTAGATTTCCATGCCTTGGGCAGTAGCAGGGGGAGCCTATGGAAAAGCACAACTTCTGGATGCCTTTCAGAACGGAGCAATTATATAATTTGCAGGAGTACCACAAGTAATAGTTACTTATCAAAAGCTATTTGTAGGTGTTTTTTTAAGGCATGAAGATGAACATTCTTTACTTTAAAATTAGAGATTAATTTCCATTCTTGCTGTTTGTTCAGTAAAGTCTTCTCCAGCCTTGTGGATTCCAGTGCATTACCCTAGCTAGGGAAAAGTAGTTGAGGTCCAGAAGTGTGAGGGATACTAGGTTGAGAAAGTTTGCTTCGAACTGTTGAAAATGAGCCTCACTGGCATATGAGATGGCATGTTGGGCACACTGTGATGCTTCCTTATTATTCATATTGATATCCCACTCTTTCTCCACTGAATTCATGGTCAAATGCATGAATGAGAACTTTCCTACCATATCCTTATAACCTGCAAAGAAGGATGAGCTTAGACAGAGCTTGGTTCACAATTTAGCTAAACTATGGCTTGTGAGATCCAGTCTGGGTTGGTCACCCGGCCCAGAGATTTAGTCTTCTGAGCTTTCAGACTCATGTTGGAGCCCATCCTCAGGGAACTTCTGTCTACCAGAGTGTTTAACAAACTATGATCTGTTAAATCACAGTTTGGTGGAAAATGCTGAGCTGAAAATAAAGGTACACTATGCTAAGTATGATACATGAACCTGGTTACCGATTTGTCCTTAGCCAGTGAATTTCATGGACAGTCAGCATTGGTAATTCAACACCCATTGTTAGATCACTGTTCTGTGATTGCATTGGCACTCCACTCTGCTAATCCTAATGAACTTAATTTAATTCTGTGAACTCTCCCAACCTGGCGTCCTCTGGGTATATTGGGTTTAATTGATTTTTAATTAAAAGATTCTCAAAAGTAAATAACCTGACATCTGGCATCTAGCTAGGCAGGTGTCCATATATTTTTGCCTGGGGACTCTTGCTGTGTATCATTATAGTCCTCCTGAACTCTAACCCTCTGTCATTTTATCAATTCCTTTCTGAAACTTGTGGTCCTTTCTCTTCTTACATTTAGGGAAGAAGGCATTAATGAGCCTCAATGGTCTTGCATCTTTTTTTGGCTAAAAGACAAACAATAGGCAAGATTTCTTTTGCTGTCTGTATACATATGTAGCTAGTTGGACCTTAGTTGCTAAACTTTGACATTGTGGATTCCCCTAGCTATGCAAACTATTTAGCTTTTGCCCTCTCATTTATTAATCCTTACAAGTTTCTTTCACATCAGTCCTGAGCACTTTTGCCTGACAGCAGATTTATTTATTTTTTCTGTATCTTTTATAAAGTGGCAGTTTTCTCCTCTTTTCATTTCCTGTGCTGGTTGAACATGAATTCTTCATTTTCCTATACAAGGACTCAATTTCCTTTTCTTAATTCTTCCACCATAATTCCTTGCCATTGTGGCAGGAATCTTAATTCTCCTGTCCCTTAACCTAATTTCTTTCTGCTTTCTTCAAAATACTGAAGGGTTACTTGTACAGAAACTTGTTCAGTTTTACAAATCTGTCTTCCTTGGGAAGATAATTTGGGGTAAGGGAATACTTTCAGGTTAAAGATTGACTTGAGGCAGCAACATAAATGTAGAAAAGTTAAAACAATCACCACACAAAGACTTGTTGCTTTAGGGAAATTGGTGGAGGGGAACACTTCCATGTCACCTTTGTACATCTGAATAGACTAAATACTTCAAAGAAGTATTCTGTCTCAAAGGTTAAATTGTAGCTTTGTGCTACTAAAATGGAATTTAAAATGGGTAACAAAGCAGTTCCACAGTTTATCCCATCATAGGGAAAATACAAAGGTAATGAGTTGTCTGAAAGAAATAATAAATTGTTGAGGCAGTATCTTAGCAGTTTATTCCATTTGCTTTGAACAATGTGTGTGGTGGAGAGAGATTTTGAAGTCTTGAATATAGGGTTTAAAAAATGAACTTTTTTTTTAATGACAAAGTAATCATTTTAAAAGGATGCTTTTGACACTTCCTGACTGCAAACATTCAAATGTTTGCACACCTGTGATGCAGTAAGTGTTCTTGGATGGACTTTTATTCAAATATTATGATCAGTAGAAAGAAACAAGAGAGAACAATTGTTCATTTAGCAATTGCCTTGAATTTTGCCTGCATGCATTTCACATTTTGAAGAAGGATGTTTGAGTTTCTGTTATCTGGATGGTAAACAGGGAGGTGTGGAATGGAACAGTGACTTATTCATTTTGACTATATTAAAAATTATTTTCTACTTTGTTACCATTTCTCAGGGCAGGCTCAGTTCCCAATGCTCAACGACAGCATTGGGTTAATTGTAAAACTTGTTTCAAAAGTCAATATTACTAAAACTTTCTTAATATTAATGGAGAATTGGTTATTTCTAACTCACAAAATTTGCAGACATCAAAAGAATTGTACCCTGGAATACTACTTAACTTATTTCTTTTTATCAGTCAATATAAAATGAATTAATAAAATGAATGAGTTAAAAATGCTCTAATAAGCTTTAATGAAAAACTATAGTTTTTTTTCCCTTGTACCTTTAAGTCGGTGTTGGTGGACTGCATAAGTTCCTGCAGTTTGCTTGGCAAGACTTCAAAACTTCATAAGTTCCTGCAGTTTGCCATTGCCTACTTCCTGGGGTTGAGAGAAGGTGACTGGTCAAAGGTTACCCAGCTAGATTTGTACAGAAGGCAGGACTTGAACTCACAGTTTCTTGATTGCTAGCCTAATGCTTTAACTGCTACACCAAACTGGCTCTCAGTGAAGAGGGTACAGGTATTCCTTATTGACTGTCTTTAACAACTGTTTCAAGTTACACAATGTAATGTTGCAGTTTCCTGCAGTCATATGATCACCACTTGTGGACTTTGTAACCAACTTGTGACAAGCAGAATTAAAAGAGAAGGTATAAGAAAATAAGAAATTGGGGGTCACATGGTTTGATGCTTAGCAGCTGTGCCACTTAACAACCAAGCTGCCATTCCCAGTTATTGTCACTGAGCAAGGACTAGCTATAAGGAATCTTTTCTTCCCCCAGAATATTCACATAAAAATTTTCTTGGAAACCATACAGAAGTGGTTTGCCACTGCTTTCTTGTGGATTGGAAAG